TGACTGAATTTCTAGAATTATCAGGGAACTCCGCGAATTTTGGAGAAGCCTCTTCGTTAGTATATAAGCCTAGCGGGAAAAGCCAGCAGATTTAAGTGAACAGTAGTTACCGTGAGTTTCGGGTAATTTACGATTCTGTTTCGAGCTAGTGTGCGTTTTGCACTCTTCGAGATAGTGAATCGCTGCGATTTATAGCTTGTATTAAAAAAGTAGTTAAGTTTAAAGTGATGAGAAACGTACTGATTGTGGAACTTTCTGTGTACTAAAAGTTTGTATTGAGAAAGAATAAAGTGGTTCAATGAAGAAAGGACTTGTATAGCTGAAGTTCCTCTGAAAGAATTTCTACCAGAAATTAACAAACAAGCAGATACGTAACATTTTTCTTGCAAATGTTCTATAAGCCAGATTTAGGAAAGTCATAAATTTGTATTAATTCCCAGTTTTAAATAAAGAGTGCATACTACAATACTTGCTACATAGATTCGTATCTGATTGCAACGCCTGTGAGTTCGCCCTCCTGGAGTAGGGTTTAACCTAAGGATGGTAAAGCATTTTATACAAATACCTATGAGTTGGGGTTTATCTTACTTAAATATGTCTATTTGGGATTATTGTTGAGTTAGGTAACTGGAGGATTGTTGGATACTGAACTAGGGTTCTGCTTTTTAAAAAATGAAGTGAATTCATTCTTCTCTTCACCCTATTAACCATTTGCAGTCTACAATGATCTGAGATGGTGGCTAGTAGGTTAAATCTTGCCTTTTATGAATAAAGTTTTTGTCTTATTTGTATATTTCCTTAGGTGTTCAAGTGCATTTTAGCTCCCTACATATAATTTACAGAATCTACATTTTATAGGTACATGATAGTTTTCTGCTGGACATTGTTACCCTGCTAGGATGAGTGTTAAGATTACGTTGCAGCTCATCATGTTGTAAACTGAATTATGTATTTTTGACCTGTTCTAAAATATCAGTGACTCGCATTTAAGAAATATACTTCTTTAAAAAATCATTTACAAAAGGAAACCAGTCAAAATTGTTACAACTGTATCTTGTGAAAAAATCTGTTTGTAACTTTTGATCACGAAGCTCTACTTGTAATCTCTAATTATGACTGTCCAAGATATAACCAGTTATGTGGTACTTATCCAAGATATAACAAACTATGTGGTACTTATGTGTGGAATTCTGTCTTGTGCAACTCATTAAGTCACCTAATACTTCATTTGACCAAATGTTAAAAACCAGGAGATTTAATTAAGACGTGCTAATTAATATTTGTGGTGAGTGAAATACAATAATTTGATTTTTCACAAATTGATTTTGAAGCAAATTTTTGATGTTATTTAAGAAAAAAATTTCTTTTAGTTAGTGATTAATATGTTAAAAATAAACTGTTAGAGTGAGGTTTTAAAAGCATTCCAAGTAAAAGAAAAAATATTAGGTAAATTGGCCAGAACTTTATCTCCAGATACAAATATCAATATCCGAAATGTACAATAAAAGCAACAGACTAATAATAACAAATTGGAAAAAAATAACAAGAATAAAAACCTAATTTATAATATAACAATAACAATAACAATATTAAATAATTTCAAAGAAATAACAATAAACCATAAATAAGAATATCAAGTAAGTATTTGCAATATCCTTTAATAAACCAAATTTCTAACTTAATGTGTTCCTCTAATTTTTAACAATCTATCTTCACATTTTAAGGATTTTTGTTTTGCCAGAGCATGAGATTACATGTGACACAACTAACTAGTTAGCATTTGTTTTACATAATTGATAATGAGCTTAGTATCCACACATCACCACTAAGGGAACCTTGTGTTGGCGTCATAATTTAAAACAAATTAAAATATAGTTGAACCAAATAATACAAGGAACAATACATAAAGTATAAACAAAACCATAACTAAAAATAAAATAGAAATTACTACTTTAGAGCTTATGATATTGTACAAATATTCAAATATTTCCAATTTGGCACAAGGTTATAGTATTATTCAGTTTTGAAAACTTTTAATGACGTTAAAACTGTACATATGCATAAGAAAGGTATTAAAGAAAAAAGGCTTTGCAAGTGTGTGTTTATTACATTGTTACGACAGCGGAAGTTACGCGACGCTCGGAGCATGAGCGCTGGAGTTTCTAGAAGGATCATGAATTTTCCTGGCAACTCTAGTTTGTTCCAGGCGCCCTTATTTTTAATATATATGCCCGGCAAATAAAGCCATCGAAAAAAGGTAGAATTGCATAGATAGATAGATTGAAGATAGAGATAACTGAGTCAAGCGAACAGTAGGCACCGTAAGTAAAGTGTGTGAATCACTGTGATTTATAGCGTGTGTTATAAAGGTTGTTAAGTTTAAATTGACTGTGGAAA